AAAAAAAAACTTATGGTCTTGGATGCTTGGCATTGTAGTGGTTTTTTTGTGTAGAAATCTAATGCTTAATGGATTAAACAACACACAATATAATGTGTATATTCCAATTAAGACAAGCAAGGTATTATGAAATTCCTTGGAGGTGAAGTACCAGGCGGAAGATGCTGGGATTAAGAAATTTCTTGTCGGCAAATTCGTAAAGTACTTGCTGGTGGACACCAAGTTGGTGGTCAGCCAAGTCCAAGAGATTCAAGTCATACTTCATGTTATGATGGCCTAGGGATTGATTGTGAATGAAGTCTTTTTAATGGTGGCTGTTGTTGAAAAGTTGTCTCGTTTGTGGAACGACTTCAAAAGTAGTTATCTCATGCATACACGCAAAGAGATGTAATTCGAAGATTTGATAGATGGTCTTCGGATAAAATAAATTAACTAAAACTCCAAAGTTTTGGCCAAATACAATGAGCTAGCGGCTAAGGCAAACTTGGCCGAACCGAGCTCGAGTAAGAAGCGTAAAAACTCTTTTCAAGGCAAACCAAAATGGGAAGCCGAGAAATCCGAGAAATGTTATTATGATGGTGATAAACCCGGGTACCTTGTCCAAGGTTACTAACTTCTGAAGAGGTGTAAAGGATAGTGTGGATTGTCGAGGACAATACAATATTTGTCAGAGTCTGATCTTTCTGTCGTGGTTCTAGTACATACTTGATTAAAATTCCACATTTATAGCGGAACAAGAGCCACTTGACCCACGGGCACTTATAATTTTGTCCTACAACCCTAACTAAGGAAGAAAATATTTGTGTAATTCTTCGACTTTAAGCGTTGGAGGAACCGACAAGGTAGTGTGCTAAGAATTAATATTGGATATCGTGGATGTTCTTCATGCCCAAAGACATCCATGAGAATCTAGTTTTCGGACCATTAATTGAGTAAGACCGAATTTAGATTAATTTGTGATCATCGACAAATATGTTATGTCGAAATATAATGTATTCTTAGCATAAGTAGACCTTAATAAAGGTCATATTACAATTATTGTAAAAATTGTAATATATTGATAGACGAAAAAATAAATAAGTTGGTCTTATTTATTGAGTGTTTTAATTTGTGACATGATAAAGTACTTGTGAATTTTAAATACTAAAAGTTGGTGAATCTTGAATTGATTCATATAACAAATTTGAAAATTGTGTTAAAATGAAAAGTGTCAAACGCATCGTAATAAACGGTTGCTTAATTCACTAGTCCTCTAGAGATAAGTCTCATCGGTAAATGTGAGGTTAAGAATTTGTGTTGACTCGAGTAGGAAATATATTATAAGAATGCACAGAATATTAACATAAAGCTTTTGTAGCTTTACCCACATAAGAATGATGTTGGTATTCAATGAAATAGTTAAAATAAATAATCACTTCAGAGTAGGTGATAAGTTTTTATTAAGCTAAATGCTTATGTGAGAAGCAATTATTTCGACAAAATAGAAACACACGATGAAACTCCATTTGAGTTAGAAAAAGAGCAAAAGCATTCGTACCAATATCTTAAAATGTAGGGGGTGTTCGAGCCAAGGTATAAATACCAAAATAATGACATGAAAAGTTAGTTGAAATAATTTTGTCGAATGGTTTTAAATTCATTGAATGACAAAATGGGTCTACGAAGGTTCTTCCGACACTTTGTGGTTGTAAGTCTTATGTACACAATATGATGATCTTGAAATAATATCATGATGTGTTCATGAAATACCAAGAAGATTGATTTTGAGATGAAAAGGTTTGTGAAATTTTGGTGTAATTTCTTTGATTGAGTTTCTAAGAGATTGGAATTAATTGTTTGACACAATCTCGTAATGTCAAAAGTATGGTGAAGAGGTTCGATGTGTTCGATAAACCTCCGACTGAGATGCATGTAGCCATGACTCTACACCTAGCTAAAAATTTGAGAATAATTACTTTCTCGGCCAAAGTATGTTGAATATTTGGATGCTTGAGGTACATTTCGGATAGTACTCGCCCTAACGTTGCATTTAAGCAAGTAAACTATAAATGTTCACAAGTAACTCGAGTGATAAATTATGATCACGCTAAATCGAGTATTGGACATGAATCACTCTAAGTCTAATAGTGACTACGTTATCACTTTAGGTTGGCAGAGTTGTGTCATGAAAATAATCTACGTACAAATTTAAATCCACAATGAAGTCGTCGAAGTTTATAAATTTTGACAAAAGGGGTGGATGAAGCTAAATGACTTAGAAATGTTGTAAAAGTTATTCCTTGAAGGAATAAATTGTGCTCATTATGATGATTATTTGTGGTAATCAATCAACAGTTGGAAGAGTGCAAAGTAATCTGTACAATAGTAAGTCTAGACATAGACGTTGGAAACTTAATTTTAATAAAAAAATTATCTCGTGTGGGGGTTATATCGGTTGATTATGTGAAGTAAAAGATTAAAATAAAGGATCCATTTACAAAAAAATGAAGCGAGATAAATTGTACAAACTGGTTATGGGAATGAGCTTAAAAAAAGTCCACAACAAATGAACGGTCTTAGCGGTAACCCAACCATGAGAATCGGAGATCCCGAAACCTTGGTTCAATGGGAAAACTAAGTTTTGGCAGTTCAGTGAAACAGTTGAAAAATTTATGCTCATTTCTAGAACCGTTAAGTGTTAAAATCTGCCTAAGTGGTGAGGTTAAGTCGAGGACTTTTAATGATTCATATACCTACGGGTGGAGTAAGTCAAAATACTCTTTATAGGAGAATCATCTTTGTAAGTGAGAAATAAATTGGCCGATTCAACTTACACTTACTACACCAAGATATTGTCCAAGGCCGAAGTGGACACAACGTGAGAACAAGAAATTGTTAGAGTTGTTATTGTGTGAGTACTATTGTCT